GGAAGATTATAAGGGAAGATGGAATTGGATTTGTTAGGAAGTAATTTCCAGTATAGAGGGAGCCTTGATGGAAAAGATAGAACGCATCAGGGCTGCTGTGTTGTTGAACTGATGACTATGGAAAAATCAAAAACAGGAGACTGCATGGATCAAATTCTTCCATCTTTTATAACTGCTGTTCTTACAGTTCTTTGTTATACGTGGGTAAGGAGAATCCCAGAATGGTTGAGATTGGAAGGGGCCTCCAGGTCCATCCTGCCCAAGCTCTGCTCCATCAGGAACACCCAGAGGAGGTAACCCAGGCCCCTGTCCAGGCAGCATTTGAAGAGCTCCAGGGAGGAAACTCTGCAACTTGTCTGGGCAGCCTGTGCCAGTGCTTGGTTGCTGTCTTGGTAAACAAGTGTTTCCTGATGTTCAGAGGCAATGGTGTTTCAGTTTGTGCACGTTGCCTCTTGTCCTGGCACTGGGTACCACTGTACGGAGCCAGGCTCCATCTCCTCTGTGCTCTGTCTTCTCTGTACCCTGTTATCAGATATTTATGGACATCAGTGAGATCCTTCTGAACCTCTTTTTCTCCCAGCTCTCTTACTCTCTCACCACAAGACAAGTGCTCCAGATCCTTCAGCATCTTGGTGGTCCTGTGTTGGACTCTCTTCATTGAGCGGCCTGGATGCAGAGCTAAACCTGGTACTTCAGGTGCAACCTCACCAATGCTGAGTAGAGAGAAGAGTTCACCTCTCTTGACCTGCTGGTAATACTTTGCCTAAAGCAACTCAGGTTACTACTTGCCTTCTTTGTGGCCTGGGCATGTTGCTGACTCACGTTCAATGTGGTGCCCATGGGACCCCCAGGCCCTTCTCTGTAGAGCTGCTTTCCAGTTGTGTGCCCCTTGTGTGTGCTGGTGCCTGGAGCTGTTTCTCACCAGCTGTATGACTTTACGCTTCTTCTTGCTGAAATAGGTGAGGTTCCTGTCAGCCCATTTCTCCAGCCTGCTGAGGTGGCAGCTTTTTGGTGAATCAGCCACTCATGTCAATTTCAAGTATCTCCCGGGGTACATGGAAGGGGTACATGGTAGAAAGTTAATAAAACCATGAGTGGCACAAAGCGAATAAGACGTGCTTATGTACTGTTTGGTGAAAAAAACAAAGGATCACTTGTTTAAACTGAAAGCAAAAAATTTTTCTCCGCTTGTGGAAATTTTTTGTCTGTATCCTCTGTGTAGTTATAGAAGATCTTATAGGTTTTAACTTGGTTTTCAAGAAGAGTTGAACCAGACCAAGGAAAAATGACTACTGCAGAATGCAAATATTTAAATATCTGGAGCAGGAAATTCATATCTTTGCTTACAGAAAGGTGAAGCACATGGTTATCACTGTTTATATGTTCTTCCATTCTGTAGGCCACTCAAGAAGAGACTGCCAGCTACACAGAACTTTTGTTCTCTCTTAGAATACTGAGTGTTCTGGTACATAGAGTAAGAAAAAGTACAGATATCCTCCATTTTTCATGCAAACTTTAGAACAGTCTTGCAGGATCTTTGGACTTATTTGAATTCTATTGCTCTACTCCCGCAGAACGTTTCATTAATAATTTTAGCATCTCTATCTTACATGAAACTCTATCTTACATGAAACAAATTCTGAAATTTCAATATCAGTGAGTACTTGTTTTGTAGATACTGGTGAGGGTTGCCGTTCGGTCTTCTTTGTTGTATTGTTAAATACAGAAAGCATTCAGTGCTCTGCCTGCCTAAGGCAGCTCAGACGGACAATTGCTGTTGTATCTGTGCACTGAATTTGAAACCTGAAAACTTGCTTGAATTTGCATGTCTTTCTGAATGTTTTGTATGGTGATCTCGTGGAAAATATTCTTGTCACAAGAACAAACAACTTGAAGTGGTTCGGTTTCTCCTGGCAGGCATGCATGTTGGTGGTCTGTATCAGTTGTTACATGAATCTGTCAGCATGTGCCCTTGTACTGTGAGAACAAGAATTTGACTCTTGCAATTTATGTGTTCTTTAAAGTATTCGTTCTTCTACAGGTTAAATTTAAACACGAGTAAGTTTCTTTCTGTTGTGCCTAGTTAGTGAGTCAGAAGTAGTTGCTTGAATTTGCTTAAATGCCTTATTTTAAAATTACTTTTCACTTTGCAATTCTTTTTTGACCTCCTCGGCCATAATCTCAGGCCAGTTTAGTAAACCACTGTAGAGTTTAACTACTTTTCTTATAAAATTAGCTTTAATTGTTTATATTGTAATTAACAGTATCTAAAAAAAAGTTATCTTAGTAACTCTAAGCTGGGGCATGTTCCATTCAGTAAGTTTAAAAAAAAAAAAAAGAATCACTTAAAAAAATTGAGAAACAAACACATAATTTATACTTTTAGTTTTCTGAAATGGTGATCTGATCACCCAGACTACTTTGTAGATTTTTTTTTAATTACGTAAATGAGGCTTGAAGTCTTCCAGCTTTCTATTGCTCACCTCAATTTCTTTTTCTTTAATGGAAACAAAAAGTGGTTTTATTGTATTTTTGTTTTTGGAAGAAAAGAGAAGTATTGTTGCTTGGAGGTAGTGAGGGAATTGATTCTTATTTTGTCAGAATGTATATTGAATAGCCTCAGGCACGTGGGGGCATGTGTTCTTTAATTTCCCTGAGCTGTCAAATGAAGACTATGGCTGAACCGAAGAGGAGTTTTTCCTATTTCTCCGTGCTGAATTAAAAAGAAATTGAGGAAGAGAGACCTGAAGTATGTAAGAACCCTTACTTTACTGCAGTAGTTATTTAAAAATAAGTCATAGGGAAAAAGTAGAAGTCTCCTCATGTTTGGAGAGGAGATCTGGTTAAGCATATGTTCTTGCCTCCTGAGCTATGAATTCAGCAGATCTTCATTTTTCTATAACTGTGATTCTTTTCTTAAAGTTTTCTTCGTTTACTAGAATGTAACAGTGCTGTGCTTTGCTCTACTGGATAAGAAATGAGGAAAGCAGAATTCAAAACTAAGCTCAAACTGGTTGGTAACCTGAGTGGTACAGTTGATACACTAGAGGGAAGTGATGCCATCCAAAAGGACCTGGAGAGGCTTGAGAGGTGGGCCCATGTCACCCTGTAAAGTTCAGCAAGGCCAAGTGCAAGGTCCTGTACCTGGGTTGGAGTAATCCAAAACAGGTAGAAAATTGGTGGAGAATGTCTTGAGAGCAGCCCTGAGAATAAGGATTGGAGGTGTCAGTTTATGGAAGACTTGACATGAGCCAATCAGTGTGTGCTTGCAGGCCAACCATATCTTGGGTTGCATCAAAAGAAGCATGCCCAGCAGGTTGGAGGAGGTGATTCTGCCCCTCTACTCTGCTCTTGTGAGACTCCACCTGGAGTACTGCGTTCAGTTCTGGGGCCCCTGACATGGGAAGGACACGGAGCTGTTGGAGCGAGTCCAGAGGAGTGCAACGAAGATGATCAGAGGGCTGGAGCACCTCGCCTAAGGGGGGCAGGCTGAGAAAGCTGGAGCTCTTCAGCCTGGAGAAGAGAAGGCTCTAGAGGGACCTTGTAGTGGCCTTCCAGTACCTGAAGGGGGCCTATAGGAAAGCAGAGGAGGGACTTTTTAGAAGGGCAAGTGGTGACAGGACAGGAGGAAATGTTTTTAAACCTGAAGAGGGCAGATTTAGACTAGATATTAGGAAGAGAAATTCTTTACTGTGAGGGTGGTGAGACACTGGAACAGGTTGCCCAGCGGGGTGGTGAATGCCCCTTCTCCGGGAGCATTTGAGACCTGGCTGGATGGGGCTGTGAGCCACCTGCTCTGATGGGAGGTGTCCCTGCCTATAACAAGGGGTTGGAACTAGATGTTCGTATAATACCTCCAGAAGTTGAGAAGGTTTGGAATGAAGACTGGCCCCATAGTATCCTGTGCTGTATCTGCAGTGTGAAACATTGTCCTCCCCTGTTTTCTACAAGACTCAATTTATAGGATTAATCATGCTCACTCAGTGAGGAATTGTATACTCTAGTAAAATACTGTATAACTGGTGAGCTCATGTATATTTGCCAAAATACTAAAGTTACTCTGAAGACAATTATTTTTCCCCAGATTTCTGACCTTCATCTTTCCATTCAAATAAATACTGGTATTAACTAGTTGGATATATTGCTATGAATATATACAAATCACTTCTAAGGAGATCTAGCTTCCTGGATGATTTCTGTAGTTTTCACCTAGATCGCTTTAGGCA